AAACATTAATGAATGAATTATATGTATTCGTGAATGAGTTAAACTAATCAATGATTTTCATTAATGACGCCTTTAATGATTCATTAACTGTTGAATCCCTTAAAACAATTACTGAACTGTCATGGGCTTCGCCCTGGTCGCTTCGGTCTGAAAGACCTTCAGGACTCAAAGAGTCCGTTTGCGACTTTATGAAAGGTACACTGCAAACTGTCGAGTTTGGATCAAATGCTGTAGTTGGTGCAGGAATATTAATGATATAAGTCATTAAATCATTAAGTGACGTAAATAATGTTGTCGTTTTTGATTTAATTTCTTTAGCATCTGTTATATATGGTAATTTTATTTCTGTAGTTTCTGAATTAAAGATATTCGCTAAAATGTTTTGTAAACTGTTTTGAACAGCAGTATAAACCGTTGAATCCGGAACTCTTACGATTTCACCGTCCTTAATAAAAGGCATTGCACATGGTGTAGTGCTTGGGTCAAATCTTTCGGGATTATAATTCAACATATATTCTAATGCTTCATATACAGACTTATATACTGTTGTGTCGTTCTTCATGACAACTTCACCATTTACAATGAATGGCATTGTACATGGAGTTAAAATAGGGTCAAACTTTTCATAGTCCTTCCATGTTATGTATTTCTCGGTATTTCCATCACTGATAACAATATATTTGTCAGTAAGTGTGAGAGAGTATTGACCAAAATATAAACGTTTAGCTCTGTCAGCTTCATACGCATATGCAGCTATACTCATATTTTAATGAGAATAAAATGTTGTTCTATTTGCAAAGTACAGACCCAAACGAATACGGGACAGTAAAGCTACAAACAAACTTAGGTCTTCAGAATGAAGCACTTGCTTTCAGAGTTGTTGACTTCAATACTATCGCAACTTTTGTCATAACAGATGAAACAGATTTCATGGAGCTTGAAATAGATGGAAAGAAGCACGAAATAAGATTTCACAATAATGTAGAATATAAGATGGAAACATTAGCTGGAGTGTTAAATGCTCTCATAAATACTACAATAAACAAGGAGAACGAAGAAAACTTAATGAATGTTAAACTTATTGCAGGAGTTTTGAAGTTCAGTTATGCGAAGGAGTTTAAGATAACACGAATGAGTCATAGAGTTCAATTGCTTCTGGGAGCATACCATATGACATTTCCTTTGAAAAGTGTTGACAAAACGATTGAGATGAAATCTGTTCCATACGTATGTTATGGTAATTGTTTATACATTGAGTCAAAAATAGCTAATGTCACAGGTATTTCAGGAGTTAATAGTAAAGGTTCAGTAGAATATAAGTCTTTCTGTTATGAAGTAAATTCAATGTTCATTCCAAACGTTCCTGTCATAGCAACTCATTTAGGTAAATGGGTTCGCATTAGTCCTCATAATTTGAAAGACATGCAATTCAGACTTGTTGACTTTCAGGGCGAGCCTGTAGAACTGAAGGCACCAGTGCGAATGACTGTTGAAGTTGACTTTTTAGAAAATATTAAATGCAACAGCTTACAAGAGAACTCAGAGCTAAAAATATAAAGTATGAATGTTATGTATTAGGTCATGAACTTTGGTTGTTGCTGTTTGATGAAACAAATGAGTTAGTTATGTCAGTCAAGAGAACAGAAAAAGGCGTCAAAGGCGCCGAGCGCAAAGCGCTATATTTGTGTTAGTGAAAACTGCACCAAGTCAATAAGATTAGGTTTGCATTATGAAGATGAGTTCGATACTGTTGAAGAAGTTTTGGATAGATATTACAAATTGCTTTAATTTACTAAAACATATTTCAAACAAAAGTTTATATTCTGTTGAAAGTTTTGTATACTCGTTCGAATATTTATACTTAAACTCAACTCCTGGAGTACCTGGTATTTCAATGATGCGGATGTTACCTATTTTCATGAATGGTGGCGTTTGACCACAGCATTCGATTTCAGGTCGAGATAGTCAATGACACATTGTTTCCCTGTTATTCGTGAGATAACATTTTCAAGGTCCTCCTTTGTTAAAATTATTTGGTTCTTACTTATAAGATTTATCAAAAGCTTCTTATCGTCTTTGAGTAAGATAGTTTGATATAACTGAAGAAGGTAATGGTCTACGTTATCTGAAGGATTGTTTGAACATTTGTGTAAGGGTTGTCGTTGGCTTCTCTTGAAAGAATTTGGTCCAGTGGTGATACTCTAACTTAACATCTGATGTAGCGTTAGCGTTTGAAGCTGAGTTTAAATTCACGGATTTTCAGTTCTGGTTCTTTTTCTTTCAAAACACTCTGAACTATAGTTCTTTAGACAATATTGTTTGTCGTTCGTGAGTCAACATTTGATGTTGGTTCAATTGGAACATTAACGGCACCAGCTAAGATGGATTTGCTTCTCATTTCATATAGAATAAAAACCTTTTAATATGTATGAAATGAACAATATACTCGACAAGGGTTTGAATGTAAAGCTAACGAATGAAAATATTGTTGAATTCACTGAGACAGGAGCTGTGTATAAAGATGTAGAACTACTGAACAAAAGAGCTAAGGGAAAGAAGCAGGAACATGAACAAAGGGTGGAAGCCTATAAAAATTTATGTCAATGATTGGCTCAGGAGTTCAAACATAAAGTATGCAGAAAGTTATAGAGTTTATGCGCTAAAAGGTGAAAAAGCCTTCATTTAAGAACAGCTATTCTAACGCATATCCTCAAAAGTTAAACGGATGGGGAAGTGGATGATATGAATGACAGCAAAAATATTAACAGAAATGGCGACAGAGATGCATGGAATTTGTTTACCATCAGTCAATTGAAGGTTAAACTTTAAAACAATGTTGGTCGTTCCCATGGAATATTTTTGACTTTAATGGTATTAGTCATGATATGAATCTCAAGGTATGAACGAGGAGAGATGAGAGACTTATATGCTTCCCAAATTTCTTCAAAAGGTAATGTTATACCTGACTGTTTCCAAATGAGTTCAATATCATAACGTGAGAAACCTTGAAAGATAACGAAGTCAGTTATGAGACGTTTTATGTTTAAAGCTAAAAAACCTCCATGTTTGCATAAGTATTGCTACAGTTAAGTGGTAATGTCTGACTTTAGTAATGATGTTAGCTAATGGTGAGTCAGGCTTTGACACTAAACCTTTTCCGGCGAAGTCGTCGCAAAACGAGCAGAGTGTTTGAAGGATACTTTTTGAAGGGGTATTTTTGAAAGTTTTGATAGAATGTAGTTTGTAAGTCGTTTCATATCGTAAACTCCTGAGTATTGACGTAAGTGGTGTTTGTCAATAATTCTTTCCATCTCTTCTGAAGTCTTTTGCATTCCTGACTGTATAAATTCAACGATGGCATAATATTTCCTCTTACGTCGAATGTAACGTTGAAGAAATTCAATGAGTTCGCTATCTGGAACTTTAACGACAGAGGCTTGAACTTTTGACATAAATGTTTTCGCTGTTGAGTCCATAGAGTCTGAAGTTGCTGATATAATGATTTGGTCATAATATGAGTCATTTCCTAAACGTTCTGTTATGAGTATATGACGAATGAGGTTAAATGTCTTACCTGACCCCATCTTTCCACAATAGAAATAAACACCATTTGAACAGAACTCATAGTCCTTACTGAAAGGAAGAATGAGAGAAGAGTTAAGTTTGTCTGTAGTTTCATTCATGTCTTCATCTACGTCATGTATTAAATGCTTCATTTTATCTCCATTAAAAATGCAAGTCAGAAATATTCAGAACATAGCACCGAGTCTAACTGACAAGAGTATAAAGATATACTATGAACATGTTATGATGAAACCTACCAAAATTCAAGAAAGTCAGTATACTTATGAATATCCAAGACACTGGGTAGAGTATGTAGGAGGTGAGAAAGCTATTGAAATCAGACAGGTTCGAAGTATTCCAGCAGGAAGAACAATATTATTGAAGAACTTTAATGTTTTGAGGTATAATGATGAGACAAAGAAGCAAGATAGTTTCCCTGTTGCTGGTGTATGTGAAACCTAGACACAGGAGATGACATGAAAGTTTTTAATACAAAGCTTCAAACGTAGTGAGAGAAAACTGACTGCGGAAGGGCATCCATTACCTTCAGAAGTTACCATAGCATATAATTTTGAAACAAATGCAATAGATTTTAAAGTCGTCTCTGCAAAGAAGTCAGGTTTACATTTAATGAAGCAGATGTATATTCGAATGAAAACTTCAAAGCTATTGCATGGTTAGATAATGACGATTGCTTTAAGAAAATATTTAAATTCAGTGACTCAACGATGTCAATAGATGACCTTCGTGGAATGTTACCATCGACGTTTACAGTAGAAGGTTCAGCAGGATTGCTTACAAGATTGTCAATTGGTGGTATTTGGTCTCGTGAGAACATTGTTATAAATCCAGTATAAGTGAATTTGCTGAAGAATCTATATTATGTCTTTCAAACTATATGTATTCGCCGCCGAAGCATTATAGTATAACAAAACTTTGTCAGTAAGTTTAATATAAGACTTGTTGAACCTTCTTCAATGAAAGATGTTGTGCTACCTAAAGATGGAAAGGATGGACTCATTATTGAGATGATTTTAATAGCATATTAAATGAGCTTGTTCTTGAAGGTCATTCATGATGAAATAACTGTTGTAGAAGATGTTAGCAATTGTTCAGACATTTTGAAGCGAATAGATGATATAAGAAAGAAGTTTATGAATGAGAATGTTTATGTTTCATTGACTTTCTCCAGTAACGAAACTTTTATGAGATAATATTGAAGAGAGATGATTTTAATATGGTGTAAATGGTAGCTTGGGCAGCTTTAGGCGCAATGGGAACAAAAGCATTAGCATTTGGAGCAAAAGCACTTGGAGCTTATGACGCAGTAAATAAAATGAGTGGAGGAAGAGTTTCGAAGACATTAGATGCAAATAAAGGAAAGATTGGAGGCTGGGTTGCAAAGAAGTTAAGATTAAATAAAATAGGACTCATAAATAAAGCATCCAATTTGGTTGCGACTGAGTCAGAAAATGCTTTAGGAAAGGACGATGAGTTTGCAAAACACGCAAAAGACTTTAATGACCAGATGAAAGGTGAAACAATGCATTTAAATAGAGTCGATGGAACTCTTCCTCCACCAGTAGTTCTTCTTCGTATGGTCCCTATGGAATGTATGGAAACCCTTACGAAAGACCATTTGACCCATTGACTGGTGGAAGTAACTGGTATCATTACGGACGAAGAAGAAAGACAGTCAAGTTGGAGACAGACGTGAAGAAAGCAACTAAAAAGAAACCAAGGAAGAGAGTTATAAAGTAATGAATTCAAGTGGGTGAAAAAAGAGGTGAAAAAAGAGGTGAGATGTCACCTCTTCACCTAAATTTATTTTTGTGCTATGTTTTCATACGTGTGAGGGTGGTGATATCATTAATTTTAAGTTTATTTTTTATTTTACTGAAAATTTTTATTTGGATGTAAATGACAGAACAAAAGCAACTCATTCGAATTCCACAGTATAACAAACATACATTTAAACATTTATTCTTCCTTCCTGAGCATAACATGTTCTTTCAAATACATCCGAGACCAGTTGACTTTTCATTGACTGTTTATAAAGATAGAAATAGTTATATCATTAAACCATACGATGACGAAGGTAAGTTATGTAAATTGTACGTTAAGAAGTTAGAGAAAGTTTATGGCTTCAAGTATGACTACAATAGGGTTAACACTGATGATGAAGATATTGAGGAAAATTTATGAGAACATTAGTGAAGTTGTTAGTGAGAACGATAGTGAGAACGTTTATTTTTACATTAGTGAGTTCGTTAGTGAAGTGAAGTGGGTGGTGGTTTTGTAAATATTTAAGGTTAAGTTAGTGTTTGTGTTTGTGTTGTAAAATATACGTTACCGGTTTCGTAAAGTGTCAAATTCACAAGTATTGGGTATGGTGGAACGCAGTGCCACCATACCCAACTAACCCATACTAACTACTGTGAAAGTTCTTTCAAATCAGATGATGTAAAAAACTATCTGCGTTCAAAAAATGTAAACCAATATTTCATTGTCGACCAAAACCATTCTGCTCTTGGTGTCATTGACGGTTGTATAAAAATGTTAAGAGACTTAAACCAACCACAAGGTGGTGAAGCAAATGAAATGTCATATGACGACAAATATAGACACTTCTCCATGGCAAAGATGAGACAAGTTTTAAATATTTACAATAGCCGTAAACAAAAAGGTTTGGGAAACCACTCCCCCCGAAGAAATGAAAAACAACCCTGACTTAGAGAAAGACTATATATTTAATAATTTAGTCAAAAGAGACAAACAAGAAAGAATGCCGGGCTTCAAACTTCAGAAAGGTGACAAAGTAAAAATAGAAATACCTAAACGCGACCCATATGAAAATACTATTGACTATGACAACAATGGGAACCCGACAGGTACTCACATTCGTGTTCGTAAAAATAGAAGAAAGTATACAAGAGAATATTATGAAGTTTTAGGCAAACATGGCAAAATGTACACACTGCAAGCAGAAGATAAAACTACTATTGTCAGACCTCGTTTCAAACTTGTCAAAGTTCAAGGTGGTATACTTTCAAAGACAGTTCCTAACAAATATAAGACAACTCCTGACGAATATGCTAAAGAAGTTGAAAATGACGACTAAGCATTTCTATACCATGCGTAAACTGTCATGTAAGGTGGCATGTAGTCTTTACTTTGTCCCGTTGTTTGCGTATATCCCGAAACGCGATGTGTATGGTTTCCTCCTCCCTCAGTGTTACTCCAGTAACAATCTATAGCAAACTTAACGTTGTCTTTAACATCATATCCTTTACCTTTTGTCATTGCTGACCAATCCCAATATCTATGCTTATGCCAACCTGCTTGAGATGTACTTAAATCTATGTAGTGACTATGTGCAGGTAAATTTTCACCTGAAATCGTTTTACTTCCACCTGTTTCCTTTGAAGAGTTTGCACAATACAAAAACCTGTCGACTATTTGAGTCCAAGTTCCAAAACCAAGTACTACTTCTGGTCTGGTAGAGTTCATTGACGTATAAATAGAGCCTATAGGATATAATGTTTGAAGTATTTCTGTCTTTAATGTTTGAAGCTCTGTTTTGTCTGCTTTCTTGTCATATAAATCTTGAGCAGTGAATTTAATATTATGTTCATCCTTCATGACATAAACATCTTTACATCTAATGTTTCTCATCGTCGTTATGTCGTCATCCGATGTTAAACCTTGTGGAAAGTTAGGAGGTTTACAATATATTGCATCCCCACCAGTTTCTTCAACCGTTCCTTCAATACTTTCTATAGCAACAGTTGTAAAACTTGTATGTGTATGGTTCTTGTCTGCTTTCTTCTCTAACTCATCGTTAACATAAGTTTTATCTGCTTTAAGGTCTAAACATCCTGAAACCCATCCTGTATCGGCTTTAGTTTTTAAAATCTTCGATGTCCGTTCATGGTACCAGTCAACCCTTTCTTTCATTTCGTTATCTTTTTCATCCACATATTCCTTATCTGCTTTCTTCTCTAACACACTAGCCATAAGTCCCTTATCTACCTTATTTTCAAGGCTAACGTTTAAGTCTGTTATTTCAGATATAGAATGTGTATGAGTCTTTTTAGAATATTCGTTTTCAGCTCTTGTCACTTCACTTGACATTTTATTGTCAACATATGTTTTGTCTGCTAGTTCAGTGATAGTTCTTTTGTTGCATAAGCATTGTTAGCTCTTTTTCTTCTTCTTTGCTATTGCATCGTCTACATATTCTTTGTCAGCTTTGTTGTCAACATCTGTTTTCAAAAGAAGTTCATTTATAGGTTTCTCGTTTAAAGTTCCTTTTGTTGGATTTATACAGACAGTATTGTTCTTCTTGTCTTGAAATAGAAACTCATCTGTCATTGGGTTTAATGTCAGTTTTAAGTTTCCTTCTTTCAATGACTCAGATATCTTAGAATAGTTTGAAAAGTTTGTTGTGTTCTTATTTAGAGCTTGCATAATGAGTTGTCGGTTGTGTTGTATTTCTCTTATGGAAGCAATATCTTTCGACATTTTTATTCTAGATAAAATATGCTTTCAATAGAAAAGAAAATTCAAGAGTTGCTACAACTAAACCATTAGATGAACTTTTTACTAATGTCGGTCAAAAGTTTGAGACAGAGACCGTAAAGCATGAAGGCTATCGTTTTGACTACCCATTAAGATGGTTAAGAGACCCATCTGTCACAAAAGCTATTGGCTTTCGTAGAATGAAGTTCATTTCAGAAGCCATACATGGTTTCCCATTTACGGTCGGTTTTGAAGTTCGATACTATAACAAAGAAAAACGTATGTATGAGAAATTTGAACAGGGAAAACTTTTACAAGTTAGTTTGCTTGTAAACTTAGAAACAACTCTTCAAGCTTTTCAAGAAAAAATAAACGATATCTATCTCGAATATGCAAACCAGTATAACATTGACGAGGGGGAGTACCATCTCGATATTATTTATGACAGGAAAAATGCAACTGTTAAAATCAATAGAATAGAAGACCTTGGAGAAAACGTTTATATTTCTACAAAATATAACAACTTGGCATGGTATAGATTTTTGAGGATGTTAAATCAGCCTGCAGCATATCCAGTACACCCAGACTTTTATGAAGTCGAAAACCCTAATGGAACATATGAAAATATTTTCGACCCAGATGCTATTATTGTTCATGCTTCATTTTCTGGTGCGCAAAACTCTTTCTTATGTCTGATGAATGATTTTTACGAAAAACCTACAAAGTTATACGAACCACCAAGTGGAAGTATTTCAGACTTTCAAGTATGGTTTACTACAGATGGAAGAAAAAGAATAATTCCATTATACCATGCGTTTTACTTAGAACTTAGTTTCATATACAACTACTATCGAACGATAAAAATATAATTTTTTAATACGGTTGAGGTGTTGGATTTGGTTGCCAACTAGACTGTGGTGCAGGTTCAGGCTGTTGTATAACAGGAGCTTGTTCTTCTGGTTCAGGGTCTTTAGGTATAATACCAACGAACTGACCTACTCTTTTACCAATATTTTTGACTCCGTTCCAAATTCCTCTTCCTACGGTTTTTATTCCATTCCATATACCTCTTCCAACATTTCGAAAGAAGTTTCCTATCTTACTGAAGAAACCCATTTACTATATGTAAAAATCTAATGTCCGCCTAGTCTCTTACGTTTCCTGTTGAGTTCCATAGCATTCTTTAACTGGAGCTCATACATTCTGTTTCTCCTCTGGTAGAAAACATATTCTGGGTCAACTCCTGTGTTCGCGTCATCTGCATAAAGTTGTTTATATCCCACTTCAGGGTTTGTATAAAACTCTTTCCATCTCATATTTGCATACCATGGTGGCAAACCTAACGCAGCGTCATTTGACATTGCAGTTTGCATTTGTACATCTGTTGGCACTTGACCATAGTTTGCCATTGCAGTTTGTATTCTAACTTCATTTGGAATATTCTCTGGGTTTGGTTGTCCAGGTTGCTGTGCATTCGCTAAGTTCTGTGCGTCCATTTAATATTAGATAAAAATATCTCTTACGAGTACATATACTGAACATTTGCAGGCATTGGTTCATCTTCATATTCTCTGTACTTTTCTGCCACGTCAAATAAATAAATGACACAATGGAAAAAACCTAAAACAAGTAGTCCTATTTCAAACCACATTTACTTACTAATAAAATTTCTTTGTTATGACACTTTCTCCAGTTTATAGGACCTCTCTCATATTCTATCTTGTCATATATAAACTCATAGTCATGTATGTCCTCTAACCATCTCATAACGGTTTCCAAACCACTTTTATCGGATGTAAAGTAAAAGCATGGATGGTTATGTAAAACGTCTAAAGTTTCTAAAGAGTCTCTCAAAGTCCAGTCTACTTGGTATTGAAAATCCCATGTGTTATAGAACGGCGGGTCCACTATAAAGAAAACATTTTCCTTGTCTTTATATTTTTCATACAAATCTGTCCAATGACATCTCACAAACTCTATACCCTCAATATATTTTTCTATGTCCTCTTTGAAAACAT